GTCAAGGTCAGCCTGGATCACCCTCCTGTCTTCAGGTGTGGATGCTTTGCCCCAGAGTTTGGTGTCATCAGAAAACTTGGCTAGTCTGCTTCTGATACCAATGTCCACATCATTAATGAAGATTTTAAATAGCATAGGCCCATGGACAGAGCCCTGGGGGACCCCCCCTGGTTACAGGGCACCACGACGATTGACTTCCGTCATGCACCACCCTCTGGGTCCTCCCACGGACTCAATTCCCCAGCCACCGGATCGTGGTGTGGCCGAGGCCACAGTTGGCCAGTTTTACTAAGAGGTGATCATGGGATACCAGATCGAAGGTTTTTTTAAAGTCAAGATACACAACATCAATCTCTTCTCCTTTGTCCAGGTGACAGGTCACCTGGTCGTAGAAGGAAATGAGATTGATCAAGCAAGATCTACCCGCAACAAACGCATGCTGGCTGCTCTCAGGATGTTGCCATCGGCCAGTCTGTTAAGAATGGCCTGTTTGATGATCTTTTCTAAGACCTTCCCTGGGATAGAGGTCAGGCTTATGGGCCTATAGTTTGCTGGATTCACTTTCCTCCCTTTCTTGAAGACAGGCACCACATTGGCCTTCTTCCAATCATTGGGCACTTCACCAGAGCACCAGTAGTTCTCAAAGATCCATGCCACGGGCTGAGCTATGATGCTAGCCAGCTCCTTGAGTACCCTGGGGTGTAGACTGTCAGGACCGGCTGACTTGAAGGTATCCAGCCTCTCAAGGTGTTCCTTCATGAAGTCAGCATTGATGGAGGGTAAGGAATCTCCCTTAACCGGGCCTCCCTGTCCTGTAGTGGGCAAGGGCGTCCCATGGGACTGAAGAAAGACTGACACAACGTACCCATTTAGCAAGCTGGCTTTTTCCTGGGCGTTGGTCATCAGTTGTCCCATCTGGTTTAGCAATGGTCCAACGTTACCCTTGCTTTTCCTCTGGCTCCCCATATATCTAAAAAAGGACTTTTTAGTGTCCTTGATATTTGTAGCTAGTTGGAGTTCTGTTGCAGCCTTGGCTTTCCTGGTTTGCCCCCTGTGGGTCTGGACCAGTGCAATATATTCCTCCTTGGAGGTGGATCCAGTCCTCCATCCTTTGTAGGTCTGTCTTTTTAGATGAAGGAGGTCCGCTAGTTCCCTGGAGAGCCAAGGGGGCTGCTGTGCCGTTTTGCTGCCTTTCCTCCAAGATGGGATAGACTTTGCTTGCACTTCCAGGATTGCTCCCTTCAGGAGCAACCACTCATCCTGAACTCCCCTACCTTTGGGTTGTGGCCCTTTAGGGCCTCCCTGACAATTTTTAAATTGTCACTAATACTCTTTTTACATACAATAACTGCTTACTTAGAACAAGCGTACTCCCAGAGACAGTGCTCAATAGTTGTCACATTAAACAGACTATTTTACCTTGTCTTGCTTTTTGTTTGCAAGTGGGTGACTAAGGGCCCTGTTACATCTTACACCATGGGTGCATCTACACATTGACCTACAGCAGTGTAGCAACGCGTTACATTGCCATATGACACACTATGGCAACATAATGATCACACAGATCTACACGTGATTGCCTGCTACATCGCTGTGGTGGCACACTTCCCTCTTATAGTGCTCTGCTATGGCAATGTAGCGGGGAAAATCTAAGCATGCATTGCAAATATGGCACAGTACATGCCCGTACTGCACTGTACTTTTGTACTTCCAAAAGGCGATATGTAGATGCACCCTGTAAGCCACACAAATCTTGATTGGTGTTAGTGCTGGCTGGAGGTTGAAACAGTTACATTTCAGGTCAGCAGGGACCTGGAGGATTGAAAGGTCAGACTCCCCCCGCCTTATATTCTGGGCCCCCCCTTGCCCCTGGGTTTCCCCCAGAGTTCCCCTGATTCCTCCCCACCAAGACTTCCCCCTCTGTCCTTGGGCTCCCCCCCTCCACTTAGTTATGGCAGCCTGCCCAGCCCTCACTGCTGTGCTGCTGCTCTTCATTTGGTTGAGCCTTCCCAAAGAGCAATATGAGAGGTGGCCAGGCAGGCAGGTTAACCCTCCTTGCCTACTTCCCAAGGACAAACACCGTGGGTAGTCACAAGTAAATGGAGGGGGAGGTGGGCGGGTCAGTGAGTAGGGATCTCAGGTCCTTGGGAGGGTGGGAAGAGGGAATTGGGCCTGATCCAGGACAACAGAGGAGGAGGGACAGGTGGGGTGTTTACACTAAGGTGTAGCCTAGATTGGCTGTACCTTGCTGTAACATGAGCTGGGTATCACAGATCAGAGGTAATCCTATCCTTGAGTGGTGTAACCTAACAAGTGCTTAAAACTAGTTTCAGGTGTTAATTTGTGGACCACTCAGGTGTTAAGAGCTCCAGGAGTGCCCCAAAATTATGGTGTAACAAGGTCCTAAGTCACCTTACCTCAATTTTCTTTCACTTTCCACTTCATTCTGTTACATACAAAAAGAAAAAAGCATGCTAGAGTTTCCACTTGAATGAAAATATATACTTGTGTAAGGGGTGTACACTCATTCAAGCAAACATATGCTGTACAAGAGTTATTATGTCAAGGACAGACCATAAAAAGAAAGATAATTACTCGCCTCAGAAGAAAGTAAATTTGTATGTTGGGTCCTAAAAAAACCCTGTATAATAAAATTGAGTAGAAAATGTTCTTTGTTATTACAGTTTTAGAACAGAATAATGGTAAAGATATAAAAAAAACAAAACAAATCAAGACAGATTAAGAAAAGCTCCAAAATGAGTGAGTATAGGGTAAACAACTCACAGCATAAGAGAACTACTAGTAAATATCTTTCCATGACTATGTGTAAATGCAACACATTATTAAAATGACATATTTTTCTCACTTTGAAATAGCCTGGATGATGTACATATATCAGTTTTGTATAGTTTTCACAGCAGTAAACTACATCTTGTCAGTATCCCAACTAACCAATGCCAAGCAGCTATATAAGGGACATATCACTTCTATAGTAAGTTAGGTTGGCTATTCAGTAGGTCTGTGCAAAACACCATCATTTTGTTTTGACATACGTTTCACTGTTTCAAAGGGACAGTGTTTTTTTGTTTTGAAGCACTATCCCATTTCGTTTAATCAAAACTGTTTCACTGTTTTAATGCATTTCAGTGTTTTGCTCATAGGCTATAATGGGGAATCATGAAAATGCCTAAAACTTTGACATTTCTTGCCTGATCTAGATGAAAATTCAACTGTTGGTATCCCCTTCTGTGGGCATGAAGCCTGCCATGTTTCAAGGAGACAGGTGCAGAGGTTTCTCAGAAACTCCACCTCAAACTGCAAAAAGCAAAACTTTTGACACTTGCTGGCAGTGGTAGCCTCCTGTCATCCGGAGGGAAGATTGAGGGGCCTACACCCCCCAGGAAGGCTGTAGGGCTGTGCCAAACTCCTCCTGGGTGTGTGGGCCCCCAAATCTGTGCTGGATGACAGGAGGCTGCTGCTGCTGCTGCTGTTGCTGCCTGGGACTGGTGCTGGGCGCAGCCTGCACCCAGTGCCAGGGAAGATTGATTCTGCCACTGGCCCCAGGCAGCAGCAGCAGCCTCCTGTCACCTAGCATGCAGACCTGGGTGCCCGCACCTCTGGGAGGGCTGTGGGGCTGTGCTGGACCCTTCCCAGGGGTGTGGGCCCCAGATCTGCGCTGGATGACAGGAGGCTGCTGCTGCTGCCTGGGTCTGGTGCTGGCCTGTGCCCAGCACCATGCTCCATGGAGCTCAGGCTGGCGATGGGAGGTGGAGTGCAGCCCTGGCTCTGCCTGCCTCCCGCCACCAGGCTGCGCTCCGAGCAGCTCAGCAGTCCCATGGAGCTCAGCCTGGTGGTGGGAGGTGGAGCACAGCTCCTGCTGCCGGGCTGCACTCCGTGGGGCTGGTGGAGCCAATTGGAGTGCAGCCCTGGCTCTGCCCCCCTCCCACTGCCCGGCTGCACTCTAAGCAGTTCTGCAGCCCCATGGAGCTTAGCCTGGTGGTGGAAGGTGGAGCACAGCCCTTGCTCTGCCTGCCTCCAGCTGCTGAGCTGTGCTCTGTGGGGCTGTGGAACTGCTCAGATCGCAGCCCAGTGGTGGGAGGCAGGCAGAGCCAGGGCTGTGCTCTGTCTCCTGCCGCCAGGCTGAGCTCCATGGTACTAGGAGACACCATTCTTTATATAAAATCTTATGGTATCTATACACGTGCTTTGTGGTGGCGGGGGGGTGGGCAGGCCGGAGAGAACTTTAATTAGTGTGTCTCTTAAGGAGCCTCTCTGAGAGATGCTCTAATTTAAGAGCTCACAGCATCACATGTATTCAGCATCCCATGCTTCAAAATGGTGGCTGGGGCTTTTCAATTCTCCTTCAATGAGCTTTAATTAAAGTGCCATTTTGAAATGCAGGGATGCTGGATACATGTGACACAGAGGCTGCTGGAGTAAGTTAATTAACATATTCCAGCAGACTCGCAACAGACTCAGTTAATCGAGTCCACTCCAACTCATGTTAATTAGCATGCATTAGAGCAGAGGTCTGTTGCATGTATAGGTGCCCATAGAGCCTAACCTTTTTAGGCTAATAATGATTGTATATTATTATTTTGTTTGAAAAGGGGTATGACAATTTACTACCTTGCCCAAAGTACTCTCTCAGGTAACAAGCCTACCCACATTTTTTCCTATACATCAATTGGACATGCTTTCTTCTGCCTCTTTTATTTGAGGATGTGAGAATGTCCAGGTTGGATTTCAAAGCTGTCTGCTTTCTTTTGAAAGGCTAAGATTTCAAGCATTTTGATATCTGTAGAATTCTATAGTGAAATCTATATGTTAAATGAAAAAGGCGAAAAACAAAAAGCTTTTTACTGCACACATGGATCATTTCTTACATAAAAAAACTGTCACTATGGTGCAGTTTAAGAATACATAAATAATTAGATGCCATGATTTTGCAAACCCTGCATAATACCCCCAATTTCAGGTAAGGGGAAAAAAAAACTTACTTGCAAATATCGTCTTCTGGGTCCTCAAGCCCAAATCTTTCATCAAAAGTAAGCTGTATCCACACATTCTCCTCTACTGCTACTAATTTCCACACGAGTACAGTATTGCGTGGGTATGTATGTGGGAACTTGGGGCTGTGAATACTTCCGTTAGTTGTCACAGTGATAATCTTCTCATGTTGGGGATCTTGTACGCCTAAAACAGAGACACACATACAAAAGATACAAGTTAAGGCTTTTTTTTTTCTACAACCACTTGCATTTTATACAACAAAAGGCTTTTTTATTTTGTTTTTTTGGTTTAATTTATTTTCTTTCTTTTTGGCAAGGAATTTCTCTGCTGGGGGAGAGTTATATAAAATACAATATAGTCCTCAGAAGAAAATATTTTTTTTTTCATATTCTAAGAAAAACACTTGGCCCAGATTTTCAGCTGCAGCTCAGGAGAGTGCGTGCTGGTGCGTGCCCTCACTCACTCACACACACACACACACACACACACACACACACACACACACACACACACACACACACACACACACACACACACTATAACAATACTTAGGCAACCTCATTCTCATTCAGTAGCAAGGCACCGGTTTGTAACAGGTCCCTGGCTGCTAAGAACAGACACTGAGTAGATGGGACAGATTTTTTTTAATGTTATGAGATGTAATGAAGGACTTCTAATTCACAAAAACATACTCTCACAGCACTCAAGATAAAGAAGAAATGTCATTGTCTATAACACTAGGATTTCAATCTTCTTTGAGCAGACCTGACAGGGTGAGAAAATAACACACTTAAGTAGGCATCACCTACTAGTCCTTATAGTAATAAAAGTTGCTTGCAGTTTTCCACAAAGCACATTAATTTAAAATATTTTGTGCTTCCAGAAAAATATGCTCTGATAATTCACTATTTCATCCTCTATTGATATAGTCTATATAGGTTATATTTTACTTCTTTGTTTTAGTGACTAACCATACAGATTTTCAATTATGCATTTTACAGTAAGATGTTTATCCTTCAGTCTACAACGGAGAAAATTACAATGCAGTTGAAACCCTTCTTTTAGGTCCACAGCTAAAGGATGACAGCTAAATGAATGTACTCAGAGTGAAAAGGGCATAGTAACAGCATTGCAATTTTAAAGGAATTAATCTGTAATTAAATATAATTTGAAGTCTGAGAGACTCATGCCTTTTATTTGTGGTACAAGAACTGTAAATTCTCTTTTAAGTTGAATTGCTGCTCACATAAAACTGATAAAGAAAACTGTGCTTCTGCCAGCCTCCATACACAATTTGCCAGTTTTGTGTACAACTAAAATAGCACAGCCTATAATAATAAAAAAGCAAAACAAAGCACAAGAAGTAGATTCTCAATTTAGAATTCATCTGCTTTTCTTAGCTGAGTCATAAGCACTTCTTCAATAAAGTATAATCTCTCAGCTGAGATTTCTACACTGCTCACATGAGCCAACACTAATAAAGATGACATTACCAGAAATTATTATATGACTGTTATTTTCAAAGTATGCAATGGACTACTATTTTGCCAATATCGCAAGCTTGACTCTAGGGGTGCATAAGTCATCTTATAAAACACACACTTCACTACTATATTTTGCAGTTCATTTTTCTTTTAAAATATACTCATAACTATTGTTATTTTTTCAGTACACAGACATATTGTGAGGAGACTAATGTGCTTCTTTCTTCTTTTTATGATCAAAATTATCTTACCAAGAATGGGGTAAATAAGGATTTAAAAGTATGGGCTCATCCAGAGATTATAACAATTCACCAAAGGGACAAAAGAAAGAGAAAAAACTCTGTGGAGACTTAGCCAATGGTTTTCAGCTTCTCCATTTCCTTAAACTTGTAACACGTTTTGCAATGGGTGAAAATATTTGCTTTAGCATATAGTATTGTTTCATGAATATACCAACTTCTCTTGCACACCATTTGTATCATTTTAGTAATTATTCTCCATAGCGGAACTTCTTCTCTTTCAAATGCAATATTTTATGTGACTATAAAGGCAAAGTTACTTTTGTCACTAGAGAATGAAGCTTGCTATTTGTACTGAGATAAGATGCACTATTCCTTGATTCATATGCAGGTAAACACAGAGTAACTATAGTCTGAAAAAATGTATCTTGAAGTGAAGCTAATATACTACTTGTGCAAATTCATTTTTTAAACCTCTTTTGAGCAACTTGGGTGTGAAGAATAATGCTACTTCCATAAGCCTAAGAATAGTTAGCACCTTTTGCCTTGGATTTGAACCAAAAGTATTAAAGTCACTTCAGAGGGAGGATATACCATACTCTCCTTACTTTAGAGATAATCAAAGCTGGGATTTACAAGGGAGTGACCAATTTAGTAGAGTTCATAGTTACCAGATGCATTACTTCCAAGTTATTTATATGAATTATCTCTCTTATGTTCCATCTGTTCTTCATTTTAAAAATAATAATAAAAGCAGTTTTAGACCACGTGAGCAGAAAGATTCAATGTACATATTCTGACAATCAGTTTAAGCAGTAATAGAGATTTAAACAGATTAGGACTTGCACTGTCTTGGCCACGGGGGAATAACAAACAAAACAGTTGACAACACATGTTGATTTGTGTAGGGATGAGGACAGAAGGGAGGAAAAGGAAAAATGCATTGCTGGTTTCAGATAGGCTGGGCATAGTTAGAGACGACTAGGAGAAGAAAGTGGTTTTCAGAAAATATTATATAGAGAAATATTAAGACTCAGGGGTCAATGAAAGTATGTGGCAGTATCCTTTTCACTGATGATTAGGCTGGAGCAATCAAAATAACATGGGTGCTAGTTACAGGAAAATCCATCCAGCAGAATGAGCTGGCAGCAGTTTTTTTTTTTATGTAGTTAGTACAAAATATTAATAATAAAATTTAAATCTTTATAAATATATAGAGTTCAGCACAGAAAACAAACAGGATTTTAAACATTCTGAAAACACTACATATACTACACTAACCTCTTAAATGAATGGCAGCCTTGAAATGAATGAATAATCATAATGACAGAAAAGACATCTGCAGTTGCCATTGTAAACTAAAATTCATACAACTAATTGGACAAGCTCAGTCCTGTCTACTACAAAGCAGCTCTCTTCCCCTAAAAGGAAGGGATGAGATATCTTACAAAGACTAGGCCTTACTCTTATTACAATATGGCAAGTATTCAATGTAGCCACAGTATTCAATTCTGATAACTATATGTTAGCAAAGTGTTTGCAACTCCACCACAAAGTAAAAATCAAATATTTTGTATAGGTCTAGGGCCAAGAGATATATAGGAGAAGATGGGCGATTAAAGGAATGTGATAGGGATTCCTGTGTTTTTATTTAGGCTAGGGACAAACATGACATATAAACTGGTTTAAGTGATCAGAAACTAGTTTAAACCTGTAACAGAGCAGATGATCAGTGCACATAAACCAGTTTGAAAATGGCTGTAACCAGTTTGAGATAAACCTGGTTGAATGTAGTAATAGATTTAACTGATTTGGCTCAAATCAGTTTATGCAATATCCCTGCTGGTTAAAGATAAATCAGACTCCCCCAGCACCCCAGCATGCTCTCTGGGCTGGGCGGGACTCTCTGCTACACTGCAGGTCTGGCCCCTCCCCTCTGTTCCCTGGCTGGAGCTCAGCACAGACTTACAGGCACAGGGCATCTGCCTGGCTTCTCCCTGCTAAGCAGGTCTGGCCCCTCCTCTCTACCTTACACAGACACTTCAGCATTATCTAGCAGACCACACATTGGCTACAGTCCATGCTGTGGGAGAGGCCAGAGGCAAGCAGGCTTTCTGGAGGTAATCACCAGGTACCTTAATGTCCTTCCTTGGAGGAGCTGTTTAAGAAGAGCTCCATTAGTTAATGGAGAGAGGATTTTTCTTAATGAGTTGATAAACACTGCATTAGGGGTGATAAACATTCCCTGCTGGGCAGCTCAGGAAGGGAGGGGAATACTCAGAGCATCCTGCCAGGGCCTGGCCATGCCCCCCTCAGCCCTGCCCTGTGGAAGCAAAGGGAGGCACCCCCACCCCTCTCCGGCTTCTAGCCTGAGCCACTGCAGTCATGTCCTTGGGTTGGACTAGGCTGTGCTCTTGGCTCCAGAGAACAGGGCTGGCCCTGTCCTTCTGTTCCCTAGCCAGAGATCTGGCAGAGACTTAAGGCACAGCAGGGCCTGCCTCATTCCCTCTTCCCCCCACCCCCTTTGCTGCTCACTGCTAAGCAGGGATCCTCCCCTCCCTCCTTCCCATATGCTACAGCACGGACTGCAGCCCCATGGACCCTAGGCATGTTGTATGATAGCTAAACGGCTGAGAGGTGTCTGTGTGCATTTCTTCAATTTCACTGGGACAGGCAGACAGGACAGTGTCTGCTTAGGGCTTTTGGGAGCTAATCAATAGGACAGCTGGTAATGTCCCTCCATTCGTTCCCTGGATAAAGCTGTTTAAGAAGAGCTTGAACTAATGAGAGAGGGTTCTGTTCTGTTGATGGCCTGATAAATGCTGTGTTATCAGCTCCCTGCTGGCTCCTTGCTTTTCAGGTTTGCAGACAGTATGAAGAAGTGGGGAGAGAGAGATTGAAAAGCTTAGTATCACCAACAGATGCATGCACTGCACCCCTCCCTGCTCCCTTTGCCTCAAAGTGCTAGCCCGGGGCTGGGGGCTGGGAACACTCCTGCACCCTGAGCAGTGAGCAAGGAAAAGCCTAAGGCAGTGCAGGGAGGATGGGGATTTAAACCCCTCCCTAATCAGAGGTCCTGCCAGGGCTTGGCCATCCCCCACCTCAGCTCAGGACTATGGAAGGGAAGGGAGGACTGCTTTAGCACCTCCTGGTGCCTAGCCACAGCAGGTACCTGCATTTCCTGAGTCCAGAGGGAATGTCTATGCAAGTCCAAATGGATTCAATCTAGGCAGGTTAAACTAAGCTGCAAAGATTGAATCAATTCAGGCTCAGGATATTTAAATGTCTTTCCTTAGCCTTAAAGTCTTACTAGATGAGAATACACTAACATCAAAGATTTAAGGTCTACTAGTAAATGAGCATGCCTGCAACATACCCTTCCTGACTGGATTCAGACATGCAGGCATGTTCCACACAAGATCCACATTACTCAGTGCATGGTGCTGCTAGTTTGCCTAAA